TTTCAGTTTGCAGTAGTCAAGTCGCACACCAATGAAGCATGTAACAAACATGCAGCAAAGAAGCATTTAAGGGCGCTTACCACTCCAGCGATTTTGCAGGGCCTCACGGGGACAACGATTCCGAACGTATTTCTAAACCGATCGAGTTTAACGAGTACTCATATCGAAGATGAAATGTTGACCTGTGTTTATATGGGAGCGATTTTCGATAAGTGGTCATTATCATATAAAAAAGTGCAACGACATAATTTCAATGCCCTTTTACCTAGGAAGGAGGTGCTCGATCGAAAATCGCTCCCATATAAACACACGTCAACATTTTATCTTTAAAACGAGCACTCGTTGAGCTCAATCGGTTGAGAAATACGCTCAATATCGTTGTCCCCGTGGAGCACCTTTTTCAGGATTTTCAAGTTTCTCGCGAGGAATTTGAGCATTCCTTAGCAACCGTTGCCGACTCTAGGCGGAGCGTCCAACTTGCGTGTGCGTGCGGCCGAGGGTCACACACGTTTCGGCGCCTAGTCCAGAGGCGTCTAGCCGTTGTGTGAGTTGTATACGTGCAAAATACGCACACATTTTTCGCCCGTTGCTAAACACTGCCCATTATGCGTCGCGTCTCCCTCATCCGAGCGAGAAAGTACGTTTTGGTTACCTCCCACCGAATTCGATGCTAATGCCATCTAGCGGTGGAAGTCATCGTCCCCACTTGGTGGTGAACGCCGTTAATATACCATGTTATTTGAATACATCTAGACACATATTACAAACATTTGTTGTATTATGTACTTTATGGGTAGAAATAAATTTCCCTGTATGTTTGTTATTATACGAATGTAATATGTATATATATCATATGTATACAGCAAATTAATGTTCATTTCCTTAATATACGCGTAACTTACACATATTACATATCTTTTGCATGTGTAATATGTCAGACACAAGTGCGCCTTAAATAGAAGTATATGATACGTTTAGAATACGTCGCTTATTTGTGAAAACGTAGTTGCTCAACGAACGTAATAGGTACGTATATCAAACATACGAGTAAAATAATTTATTTTTGTTTACATAGAATGTACGTATATTTTACGTCTGTGGCAGGTCATTTTTTCTTCCCTTAATATACACACAACATACGTTCATTAGATGTCTCTTGCATGTGTAATATCGTAGATACAGGAGTCTATTAAATAGAAATGTATTGTACGTTTATTAAACGTATTTAATTGGTGAATATGTAGATGCTTTATTAACGTATAACATACATATATCAATCATGCGAGTAAAATAATATATATTTACGTACATAAAATATATGTACATTTTACGTTTTTGATAGGTCAGTTTTTCTTGTCTTAATATACGCACAACATACATCCATTATATGTATTTTGCATGTGAAATACTATACATAGAAATTCCTGTTAAATAGAGATATATTATACGTTTACTAAACGTATTTAATTGGTGCAAATTTTAATGTTCTAGTAACATATATAATACGTATAATGTACATCTAAAATCCAATAGAATATTTTTGACATTCCGTGAACATATATTATACGTATATGTTTAACTTCTAATATACTGAAACATCCCGTAGTCATGAAAACATTCTATATACGTATAATAGAGCTTTTGTTCCGTGTAGGTAGTACACTTAAAATAATGAGTTAAGTTTGGTATGCTCTAAATTTATTGCGGAATTTCTTTCCTTAATCAGTCGATGTACTGTCTGTTTTCCTTGCGAATAATCGTAACTTAACCTCTTCCAAGGATAACCTTCAACGTTTTGAGATTATCCACCAACTATAACGCAAAAAAACGTTAAAAAATTTTCAAAACATCTATTAAAAATGTATTGTAAAGTAGAAAATAATTTTTACTTATATGACTGAAAAAATGTGTGGTCATTCATAATATAATTTCGTAGAAGCAACGATTTTAGAAGGGTGAAAGAAGGTTTAGAAGTTAAATTTTATGATGAGCGCTCCTTGCTTCTATTTTTAGTTATATAAGTAAAAATTATTTTATACTTTACAAAGTATTTTTAATAATGAGGTATTTGTAAAATTATTTTAATGTGTTCTGAAATTTTGAATTTTTTATTATTGTATTGTCATCGGAACCACGTACGTGTGCAAAATTATCGCCGTAATTCTTGTACATTTTTAGTGAGTCAGGAGCTCTAAGAATATCTGATAAGTACCCGTTTAACATTTTCAACACATTTGTAATTTTAACAAGTACTAATCAAAGTAAGAAGATTTTATTTTGCTTAAGCGTCATTAAGTCGTAAGAGAAAGTAAAAGCATTACAAATATTTATCATTATGTCTGCAACAATTATTTGTTGCGTATTTATAAATGTATATTTTGTTACTGTTAATAATGAAAACAATATTTTTAAACTTGCAATTTATTATTTTCAATTGTATGCGATTCTCGTGCGGATCTATATGTAGTGTCAACTAATAGGTCAATTTGCCCCGTATCAGGGGCCCTGTATCAGGGGCAAAAGTTATAAACAATATCTACTACATTATTTTCGAATGTCAAATTTATAATGTTTCTACACAATTTCGCAAAATTACATAATGTTATAAAATAATAAATTCGTTTAAAATTGTATAGTAAATGTATACTATTTCACTATCAAGGCATCAAATTTATAATTGTACTACAATGTTATGTACTAAAAGTGTATAAATTTGATGCATTTTTTTAACAGTGGATGTAGTGTTAACAATGTTTCTAAATTTTATACGCTATTAGTATACAAAATTACACTCAAATGACAAATTTGATACGATGACTTCAATTATTATACAACGTTTGTCATTTTATGTACAAAATTTGCATTTTATGACATCTTATAATGTTATAATCAAATATTTATATTTTGATATTTTAAAATCAACTCGAAGAATTATATAGCCTGTACACTACCCACACGGAAAAAAATCTCTAACATACGTATGTACGAATATTTTCATATATATAGAAAGTTCCAGGATATCAGAATTTAAAAATATGTCTATAGTATATGTTCACGGAATGTCTAAAATATTCTATTGGATTGTAGATATATATTATACGTATCATATACGTTACAAGGGCATCCACATTTTAACCAATGAAATACGTTTAGTAAACATATAATATATCTCAATTTAACAGACGCTTAAATCTGAAGTATTATACATGCAAAGGACATCTAATAGATGTATGCTGTGTCTATATTACGGAAAGGGACATTGACCTGTCACAGATATAAAATATATGTACATTTTATGTAAACAAATATATATTATTTTACTTACTTGTTTAATATACATACTTTAAGTTACCAGAGCAACCACGTTTTTACCAATGAAATACGTATACTAAACGTATAATATACTTCTATTTAATATGTACTTGTATCATACGTATTACACATTCAAAAGACATTTAATATGTGTAAATTGCGTGTATATTAAGGAAATGAACATTAATTTGCCGCATTAATATGACATACATACATATTATATACGTATAACAACAAACGGACAGTATAGTTTATTTCTCCTCATAAAGCACATAATACAACAAATGCTTACCCTATGTGCGTAGATATATTCAAGTAAAAAGGTGTGTTAAATGCTTCTTTGCTGCGTGTTTGTTATATGTTTCATTGATGTGCGACCTGACTACTGAAGACTCAAAACATAGTTCACACAAAATCAAAGTGATGTCGCGTGGCATATCGTTTTGCCGCGACGGTGTACTTATTTAGAAATAAGTATTTGCAAGTAATATATATTACTTATATACATGTCCCTATTTTTGGCCAGAGATTTACAATACAAATAATATCGATTAAACCAAATTATAATTAAACTTAAACTGGTGTTTTAATATATGAAAAGTGTTGTATAGGCGTAAGACCACGGTAGCTGAGTGATCAGAACTATAGCCTATTGTACCTAAAAGACTTGTTCGAATCCCGGTTACCACCACAGGGATTTTTTCAGTGTCAGATATTTGTATATCCTGAAGATTTCAGGTCCCTGAACAAATTGTGGTAAATTGTTTCTAAAAAACGTACTTGGTGCAAAATAAATGATACTTTTTGTAATTATTCCACTTACATTTGAAATACGTCTTATATACGTATAAAATACGTATAATATCATATATAAAAAATATGTCTAATATACGGCTGTTGAACTTCTGAAAATAGGTGTACCATCCGTTGAAACTTTTATTTACGTTTATTATATTTACATACGTCTATGTGAGATATCTTAAATACGTCTACTATATATATGTACGTCTACCACATACCTTGTTTATGTCTAATATACGCACTTTTTCCATTTGGTATATATATTATATGAATGTTGAATGTTCAGAAATACGAACACTATCTGTAGACGGCGCGGACATTTGTACAAGCCCCAACACATTCCGTATATTTTTGTATACACCTATTATACACATATATGTTTATGCCAGATGTCTTATATACGTATAATATATGTACTTATTCCGTGTGGGTAAACACATTTACGGGTGTATTCTAAATTCAGTATACCGTATCTGAATAAAACTTCTAATGCACGTTCCAATTTATAGATTATATTGCATTTTAACAGTATAACTACATTATATCATGGGTTTGCGAGAAAAGTATATACAACATGAAAAAGATTATTTTTTAAGAAATACATCAATTATTTGTAAAAGGCACAACATTTTCAACAATTTAATTGAGTTATATGGGGAATTTAAATATCTTGAAAGCCTTTCGTTCATTTCTTACTTTCCAAATTAACCGATTTATATTATAAATATTCAAGGATTTTTCATAGGAATAAACATTCTTTTTACGTGAAATTATTAAATTTCATTTTAGTTCTTCGGGTAAAATAGAATTCTGATTTTTTTCGATCATTTGCAAATCCCCGAAGATTTACGATCCAATCGATATTCGTTAATTAACGTATACGTCACCTTTCGTGCAAAATCGCAGCTAGTTCTTTGCAAAAGTCACCGCCTTGCTTCACGTACCGGCGAATTTCATCGAACCCCCCTTGGCCTCCCTGTAAAGAGAAACGTAAATAAAATTATTTTCTCCGTCTTTCGTAGACCTAAATTTAAAAATCTAGAAAAACAACGTATATACGTATTATAACGTTAATCAAAATATGGTAAGTCATAATAATTAGGTAACATAATTAATGCGGAATACGTCATTTGTTAGCATTACCTATTAATCTTTCCAGTACAGCCAAAATGCACTGCGCTGATAATTAATATTTGAAGAATATCATTAATATAAAAGGGTATCCTACTATAATAAATCCAGACTAATATTTCTTGTGGGTGATGGCGAAAAATGTTTCGGTACAAAGCTGTAGGGTTTGATGGGAGAAAAAATGCAGGTTATGACTTTCACGTGAAGGTCATTTTTAAAATTCATTTCAAGGGCAACTTCATTTTTTAAATAGAGAGGACTATTTTTGATACCGGAAATCGATAAAGCGTCAAATTCTACATAGAAGCATGTGGAAACAAATGGAGTAGGGGAGACCTGGGTAACTTGTCCTACAGGGTAAATTGACCAATGTTTAATACATTTTCTGTTTTTCACTTAATATCATTCTTCATTTTATCATACATTCCTAACTGTGTCCCACATTTTTATTGGTACTTAACATAAGTTGTTACAGCTTCATTTATTTATAAAAAATTAAAACACAAGAACTATGACGGGAAGTAAGTTTTTCCAATCCACATTTTTTCTTTTTTAATACAGTGTATTGCTTTTTACTATTTTGATAATATGTCATATAAAAAGAGCATCTATTTAGCTTTGCATCTCTGTGTATATAGTTTTAAATAGAATTGTTTATCATTTGTCAATATGCTTTCGATTGGTAAAATGACATTCGAGGCAAATTGACTTACGATAAGCGAAGTAAGTGACTGAAAAAGCTCATAGGCGTCGCGTTGGCTATAAGTTTTTCGGTCATCATCTGTGCTTCATGTATATCCCGAATAATTATCTGTTGGTTCACTTAAAATAATGAGCAAAGCTCAGTGTGTTCTACATTTATTGGAGAACATTAAAACGAAGCCGAAGCAAATACCCAAAGAAAAATCTAAAGATAAGTGTGTAAAAAACGCTGAGAAAAATGAAAACAGCAATCCAGGACGAAACTGACACGTTCTATTTAATGTGCGGTACATCTTATTCTTTGAATTTTGAGGGAAAAATTTGCAAAATATTAATTCAATGCGCCCTGTGGCGACATAAAAATGTGTCGATACAAACCAGTTGCCGTTTTTTGTGCATTTTTAGTGAATCAAGTGGTCTAAAAATTTCTGATTAGTCTTTATTTAACATTTCCGACACATTTGTGATTTTAGCAAGTGCTAATCAAAATAAGACAATTTATTTTGCTTAAGCAAATCATTAAATCGTATGAGAGAGAAAGCATCATAAATATTTATTATAAAGTGTAAAAAGATCAATTTTACGTATTTATAAATGTATATTTTATTATTGTTAATAACGAAAACAATATTTTTAAACTTACAACTTATTATTCTGAATTGTGTGTAACTTTCTTAACTTTCGTAACTTCTATATGCCGTACATTAACTCGTCCCGTACCCGGATCCTGAATGTATGCCCTGCATTTCGATGTATAATATGTTCGAAAATTCTTATTATCCTACTGACAATTACATTATGGAAAAAGTTGGACAATTTGCCCCGGTCTCCCGTAACGTTGATGACAATGAATTATAAAAATCGACATTTATAGTTATAGGAATCCGGTTGACACTAATGAATCGTATGAAAGTCCATCTTTCTCGAAGGTAAAGTAAAAAATGGAAAAGGAACTTTTAGTAAAGGGGTCAAGGTAACATTACAGTCAACATGATTTCTTTTAATGTAATACTCCATTTTTTATTAGGCAGTATTTAAGCTAATGGGGTGGTCTTTCCAAAACACTGATTGATGATCTACTTTTATTGAGTACTGTCTGAGTTATAAGTTTCCGATTTTACGGTGCTGCCAACATTAGTATTATCCAGAATGCACCGCGTGGAGGTTGCATGGTCGGACTTAACATTCCTGTGTGCGTGTGTTTGTATACATTAATTGGCTTTAATTTAACGCAGGAATTAAATTGAATACAACATTAAAATTAATTTGAACATTTATATGCACAGCGCACCAAAATTTTCATATTGATGGATTCTATTGACGAAGAAAAATATAGAATACAAAAAGATTTGAAATCTGCACAAAATACACTACATATGTGGAAAAACTTAGCCAAAAACATTTAATTCCGTAATTAATTACAAAAGTAGTATATATTTTTCACTTTTGCATTATAAATGGTACGAATGAACGACTGTTGTCAAACATAATAAAATTATCATGCCACTAAAAACAAAGTAATTATTTTTTTTCACATCTCACAGTACATTTCGTTTTATATAAAATACACGTACATCTGTTCCAAAAATTATAATTTCCCTCAAAATCACACGTTTGCGCAAATCTACAGTATTCGACTTCAGTTTTAGATCGAATTTTTTTATTTTATTTTTTTGGTGAAATCGAAAACTGTAGATTTGCATAAATGTGAGATTTTTGGAGAAATTATCATTTTTTGAACAGATATACGCGTATTTTGTGTAAAACAAAATGTACGATGAGATTTAACAAAAAAAGATTTAGTTTTAGTTTTTAATAGCATGATCATTTTATTTTGTTTGGCAAAAGTAGATGATAAGCACCATTTATGGAGCAAATGTGATATGAGCTACTTTTCTAATTAATTTAGAAATTAAACGTATTTGACTAAGTTTTCTTACACCTGTGGTGTCCTTTATGGGTCGATATGAGAAGTATAACGATGCAGAAGGATATTATTCCCAGTAAATATCTTAAATCAAGTATTCTTGTCATTGCAGTCCATTATCAACATAAAGTGTTTATATTTGGGAAAAAATACAAATAAAATGCCCAATTTTTCATTTGCATGACCTTTTCGTCTTCAAGAATAGTCGAATATGACCTTACAGATTATCCATTGCTTTTAATTACGCTCTACGTATGCGTCTTTCTTCCATGATTAAGGAGCGTTAACTTCCATTACTTCAAAAACCAAGAGGAAAGAACGAAAGAAGGGCATGAGAGTTTCATGGCATTTTGGAGGAATTACTTTTCATGACCGTCTGATGGATCATAAAACCGTAAATCGCGGGATGCACGTTGCATGCTCGAGATGCACCCTGCAATCTCGAGCACCTCGTCTATAAATTATGCGCTCGGCAATACCCCCCCGAGGAATTAAGTTTATTGATACCAATTTACGTCACTTTCTAAACAATTAAGCTCTGGAAAGTTTTGCGCAGCTGTCAGCCGCTTTTCACCGGGATCGTGTCGCGGCTTTTGAGAATATTTCGGACGATCGAGTTTATCGTTACGGCCACGTAACGCGTTACATTGTGTAACCGGGACTCGAAGCATGCGCGTACTTACATCACACCCTGCAATCAAGACCAGTTATCCGGCGAAATGTGCGCATGGTGATTATTTTGGAAAAGCCCAGCGCTGTCGCGCCGAGACCCGAGGAAATGGGAAGGAGGGGGGGAATAATCAGTTTCCGACGTTTTTGCATTCCGCCTCGGATGTTTCCCTAATCGGACACTTCCTATGAAGCCTTTTTCTGCCTTCGTGCTGTCGCAAACACGTGAAAGTCCCATTAAATTATGGATCTACGGACTAAATGTTTATGGGCGGCTTCGAAAACTTGACTCGCCTTCAACAAAATTGCAAAGTTCAACATAGCGATACCCCACCCAACAAAGATGCACTATTAGATACCGTTACGTTCGTTTCGCGAAACCAAATAACGAATGCATTAAGTGAACGATTATGCGTGAATATTCGGCAATTACTGTTGCAATTTGGTAGATCATTTTAATAGGGTCGCATTTTTGTTGCAGCAGAATCGGTGATAATCATGCAAACTCCAACGGCGTAACTTGTTCTCAAAAAGTATAATGTTATATTAAAATAATTAACCTTGAAGAATTCTGGTTAAAAAGCTGTCCAACGTTATGCGTGCAATGCATTACATTATGAATATTTAACGAAAATGACCTCGGTAACATGATTTGCAATGGCAATATATTTTTAGAGACTATCTACCGTCTCGTTTAATCGCGAAGTGCATTCTATTAGCTCGTTTCTAAAACCATTGCCCCTCGATTTACATGGTAATTCCGAGACCTACACTTACAAGAGCTCTGTACATATAAGTTTTCAAATATGGGACCACGGTGAATAGTAAAAAATATGCAGTTCTGATTTAATAATAAAATGTAGCTAGCCTGTTCGTTTAGTCACTGGACCATTTCGCACAAAACACAAGTAACGTTAATAATGTTGCTAAACGAACCTATTCTCCTATCGCTTATGATACCTCGCAGAAATGAAGCGCACTTTAGCAAAGCTACAAATAGATCTACAAAATGAGTATTATCCTAGATTAAGCATTTTTTTTCTATTTATACACACATCAGAACATTAGCCAGTTAACCGAGATCCGAGACTAGGTATATAAATATATGATAAATTTCTATAATCTGGTCCATCTCAATTTTCACTCACTCATTGATTTGGTGTGATAGCAGCTTGTTAAGTTGGCATTTCTACCGATTTTAGTTACTCAAACATTTTAAATTTAAATATAAGTTTGTAGTCTCCTTTGCTTATGGATCTAATTTCATCGAAGGAATCTAGTTTTCTCTGGTCGAATTAAATACTTCATTAAATGTATTTGCTGAACTGACGCGTGGTGTAAATTGATGGCAGTGGTTTAAGATCTAAAACGGCTGATATGGTCACTTTAAATACGACTCGCATTCTACATCAAAATGTAATATATTTTTATTAAAATAACCGCATTGTAATCGAAACCTATTGAGATCAATTTGAAATTCTGTCTCAATTAGCGAGTCAATAGCCATGATAGTTCAAACTTGGCGTGCGCTAATTACACAAACAGTA